CACATGTTGCCAGTCAGCGCCATTTTCATATTCTACACGACCAGGGGTTAGTGAAGGAGCGTGCACACAGCCCATGGAATCGAGCTTGCGTCAATTGCCGGGTCCATTTTCGTGCATGATTTTTGTGCTGCAGGTACAGCAGGTGTGTACGGCCACTGTACATGCCGGCTGCGACATGTCGGACAAAATTTCACCTGTTAGTTTTGAGCTTTCTGATGAATGTTGCCTTGTGAGAGCTACATGTACATGTATTACATGGATAGATTCCCCTGCTGACATTGAATTTGCACTTACATGTACATGTACAATAACTTCCCCTAAATGAATCCTTAGAGCCATTGATTAAAAAAAAATCTTCAATACAAGTACAAGTACGACCCCAGAAAAAAAATCAACAAATTGGGAAAATAATGATTTTGAAATGATCCCCAAAACTACATGTATAATTATACATGTGCTGTACATGTACATTTTGCACTAGGGGTGCACCCTTGTATTTAGGCCAGAAGTATGTCTGCCAAGATCATTAATTAAAGTTATACACTCAAAATATTCTATATTAGAGGGTCCTGAGAGCAGCTACATGTACATGTACAGTGTACCATGTGTACTGCACACATGATATGTGCGAATTAAAAGCTTTTCCAGTGAGAATTTGAGAAAAATATCTGCAGAGCATAGTGTTTTACTTTACAGACTGTGCATACAAAAAATAACTGGTTAGAATTGTCTAGAAAATGGATAAATGATCGCTGTTTGCTTACGATCGGTGTTGGACGTCCGATACAAGCACTGATGACAACTTCAGTCAACTTTTGCCAACTACTGAAGACTTTGTCAAAAATATGGAGCGTGAAAATGCACTGCGAGCACCTTATATTTTGAGATTTCCGTTGGCAACAACAGGCACAGATTTGGCAGCAAGTGCTGTATTTTGTGACTTTTTTCAGAAATACACCTAGAAAGAGAAGTATTGTTATTTTATCTATATTACTCATATTAATGCTAATTAAAACTTATTTGAAAGAATACAAAGATCATGCCTGATGTTAAATCTTTAAGTCTTGTTTGAAAACATACTATTTTCAAAAGGCTTTTATGAATGCCTGATCAATCCATGATGTGTGCACTCATCACTAGCTTGGTGGGTTGTTTGATAGGTTTTACGTATGTACATGTACAGTCCACATAATTTAGTTTTATGTTAGTCCTGTAGTGTTTTATGTTTTAATGTGCTTGTTGATATTTATGGACATTGCATGCTCACTGTTTTAACATTTTCATGTGATCTTGATCAGATTAAGTAATTTAATGTACGTAGATACTTTTCATGTAATTTTTAATTGTACAGCCCTTTGAGCCACCGTGCGGGAATAGCGCTTTATAAAAACAATTTTATTATTATTATTACTGAAACTTGAAATCAAATTAAAAACAAGAATGAAAAGGAGAAAGTGGTGGGAAGTCAAGCTATGGCAAATAAGTGTTTTTCCTCAAAGTTCAAACTGCATCGCCAAACAAAAGTAATTAATGCAAAATTTAAATTCTCGTTCAAGAGATTAACTGGCAGATTTTTCAGAATGTACTTTACAACGTATGTGCCCAAAATTATGGTGATGAAACTCGTAAGTTTTACTACAGCCGATCCAACTTGTTTGCATCTATGACGCTCCTGTTGCTTCTGTGACATCTGATGTTCTTCAAAATATTATTCCATGTACATGTACGGGTGTAGTAGTTTAGTCAAACTTTCAACTAGTGAGAATAAGGCCTTAAAAATTTCGTTTACTTACGAACAAAGTTTGGTCAAAGTCCTCTTAAACATTTTAAAGTGGGCAAATTACATGTGTGGTGAGTCGCGGATAAAGAAAGGAAAGAGTTTCATTTATGGAATTTAGAGAAAATTTTTACAATACATATCATGGCGTGTATCTGGTTATCGTTGTGCACAGGGTCTCAAGTGTTGTCCGCATATAAGCCGTATTGCCAATACTGCAAGGATGATTTTGCACAATGCCTTTCTATGGTAGTACCGTATCAATTTGTGCAAAATTACCCATGCAGTATTTGTGATAAGGCTTCTGGAACTCTTGCCTAAAATAATGGGTAACGGAAGTGCAAAACAGAATTTGTGGCTTCCTTTCTGTGGAATTCCATGCAAATTCTTGACTCCAAATAAAACCTTGCATGATCAGTAATCAAACTGAGTCAACCTTGTGAGCCCGAAACTGTCTTTCGTCCACTGTCACAGTTACATCACACAGCGCCCCCTCATGACGAAGTGAGTCCAATTCTGTAGCCAGCGATTGCAGTTGGGGAAAATCGACACAATTTGTCAATTCGTGTTGAACAGAAAGCACACTGCTATTGCCGCTCTGGTCCAGGTCCATCTCTAATAACTTCCTGTTGACTAGTTGCGAAATTCACATCGGACTGAGACTGATAAAAATTAGAAATTTTGAGAAACCACCAAAGGGGGAAACTTCAGCACACACAAGGCCTGGCATACATGTACATGTACATTTAGTACTGAACCGGACCATAGAGCTCCGTAGCTACCTAGCAAAGAAACATGATTGAACACGTACACAATGTTTTCCAGCCGGCGTCGTAGACTTGATCCAAGTCGACGTCGCGTTCTCGGTGTTTTAAGTCATACGTAAAAATCATAGTCTGGCAGTCAAATGCCACTTTTTACCTGAACCTTGTTTTGGAGGATATATAATATGTTTTGACAGATTAGATTTCTACCCTGTAGACCACAGAAAACCAGAACCTGCATGACGACCTTTGATGACGTTTGTGGGGGTATAGGCTCTGCATTTTTGACACACCAAGCACTTCAAGTTCAAGTTGCAAAAGCCCTCTGTGTTTACTTTCTGTACTGTACAGACTTGGCCAAGTGGCTTCTCGGCTGTACCGTAAACTTCACATCCCCTACAAGGCTCCAATGAGTCGTACACAGAGTACATCTTTTTTCATCTTGTTTGAACAGCGCATTGAGATTGCGCCCACAATGAAAATATTACGGGGATCATTAAACCTCATTACTTCACCCACTACTTGTAATCTTATCCAGGGGCTGTTACGGGAGAAGAGGAGCGGCCAAAAAGCAAGAATTATTTATTTCTTTTTGTGTGGTCGTTTCAAGAAACTGTATAGCTGCCTCGTCTTGACTCTTTCTCAGCGACTAGAGCGTCCTTGAGCTTATGCAAAATCTCCGAATTGATCTCATGTTGTATTTTGTTTCCTTTAAATTTGAATTGCGCTTCAGCCTCCTGTTTAACCCATAGCAACTACTCAGAAGCCGACACAAGTGCTCTATCGCTTTTGGCTTTTTGCGCATCCAATTTTCCGTCAATATAGGCCTATAGCTTCACGCCGCCCACGGCTTTATTAACAATGGGGGATATATCCTTCGGCGTCAGCTAAGAAACTGGTATTGGTTTTGGGAGGTAGGAAGATTGCTGTCGGAGTCCGTCGTGGCAAAGCAAAATCTAACGCCGAGCTCATTGTCAGGACGGGACACACCCATGCAGTGCCCAGGCTCGTCTATATAGGCCAACTCGAAAGCCGTCAATGGCCACTTCTACATACCTTGCGTATCACCTGTACTTCTCAAGCGTGACGCCTCATGTGCATATGAACGAAAACTCCCTGCATAGCACTCCCTGCTGAGCAGTAGCAAATGACAAGTCTCCTCCGGCAGCATGCTGCAACGGCCCCACTCGCAAAATTGCATGAAGAGCCCCCTCGATGTAACATGGTTGGGTGTGCCAGCTACCTTTCAGGCACAGTAGGCCCTAGGCGACTCGAGCAATGTGTGAAAACGTTCCTACGACATACAGATAATGATCACCCCATGGGCACACACTTTTGCAACAGATCCCCGCAAACAGAAAAACCAAGCAGATTGAAGTCATTAGGGTGAAAAACCAAGCAGATCAAAGTTCTTAGGGTTAACAGTGCACTGCAGTGAGTAAACGGAATGCTGATTTAAAATCAGATTTGGCTTACAAAGATCCCAATACCCAACTTAAAAACCCGTGCGACAACTCGTGTTGGAAACCGCCGTATTGACTTGGTCGATGTGATCATTGACAGTTACCCAACTGGGATGATAGTTTATGAATTAAGCAAAATTCGCTGGGTACTTGCTTGGGCACCAAACCAATAGGTGAGAAATGTAAAGCGGGGGCTAGAAAAGGGGCCAGCAATCTGGCCCAACTGCAGTCCGTATTTTTTTTTTGGCTGCAAAATAGTGGGCGGTTCGCGCCTCGAGACCAAATTTCGGGCAGTAAAACTAACTCTTGGACACCCATAATCAATCCAAAAACCCACATGAAAAGCAGTTTACTAGGAAATTGGCATCCTGTCTGTTGGGATAAGAACGAGGAAACAGAAGCATCCTATTGATTTGGACAGGTGTTGGCAGGTGATAGTGGGGGGACTGACTTTTGCACTGCGATGCGGTTGGAGATACGGCAGTCACTGGCTGAATGGGTTGCAGACATGCAAGCCCACGCACTTGTGGGCAAAGCGACATTCAACTCTTGATGCAGCGACTGCGGTTGAAGACAAAATTTAACCTGTTCGACCGACTGGACTGCTAAGACGAGAGTGATTTCACCAGACCAAATCCCCTGGCCACAAAGTTCCAACTGCCTGGCCCAAATTATCTGGGTCTTTGGTCTTACTCCGGGAAGGCCCGAGTGGAATTCTGTTCCCGGGCCCAAGACCCCACCTGCTGTCCAGTGACAAATTATTTGAAGCCAATGGGCCTAATATGAATTTATGTTTCAATCAAAATGTTTGCTGTCTTACATTGTATGCAATATTTGGGTTTTAACTGCAATTAATAAATTTCTCTGTCTCTAGCACTTGCGCTGTTGTACAAAATAAAATAATACAAAACTAAAAAATACGTTGCTAGATATATTACAACAAAAATGCACCTGCGAAGCACTATTCTTGACATCAAATGTGACATTTCCTGGTCACGTTAGAACTTCTTACGGACACATTCATGTCAAGCTGAAATGCATCAACATGTGATTTCTGCTCTGCTTGAACTCCAAGTCCAAGGCGCAATTATGATAAGACTTCATTTTGAACCCACTGGTAAATTTCGTGCAAGGCAAAGTTTTCTTTTATTTATTCTGACTTTTACATTTGACATTTTTAGGATGGATTTGACAATGATTTCCAGTCTCAAAATAATGCCAGAAAGGGAAACGAAATTGGTCCAACATGTCCAGTGTCCTGAAGCTATGCATGGAAACCCAGGTATCTGAGCAGCTGGCTATTGATGTCAGGAACCTGTTCCAAAGTCAGGTACCACATAAATGTATACACGTATATCTATATCCAAAGAACAAATTACTGCTCCAAAAAGACTTTTCCGAAACAGGTAGAAAAAAGACAGCTTTCAAACGGTTTTTTGGTGGGAAACATAAAAACCGGATTACACTGAACATGAAACTAAATTTCAAGATTACTTTTTTTTCCGTTACGATTTTGTGTTTAGATATGTGGGCCTGTTTGTATCACACGAATCTAAATCTCAATCAGTGATCCACCGTTGGTTCACTGACACTAAAACCCCCCAATGGATACAGTGAACCAGCGTAGGGATCACCGATCCAGATCCATGTGAAACAAACAGGCCCTTTTGAACATATTGGGGTACACGTTTTACTTCATCAGGGTATCCCAGTTCACATTATGTGCAGAAATGCTGAGCACTAAAATGTACACGCATGCATTCACTGATCTTGTCAGGATTTGTTTGCACAGGGCCCACAAGCACATTAATTTTCACTCACCTATGAAAAAAAAGTACATGTACTAAAGGTGCATACCCACCCAATATAAACACTGTAAACTCCTGCATACCCATCCAATATAAACACTGTAAACTCCTGCATACCCACCCAATATAAACACTGTCACTCCTGGCTCAGTCTATTTGATGTTGCTAGATGCTCTTGTCTTCTCTGGACCTCGACTAGTCTCAAATCTTCTTTCATAATCTGTGCTTTTAACTGACCTGAAACAAATACTGTAAATACATGGATGTGCAGACTAAATAATCCTAAAGTAACCAGCCAACCGTAGAAACTACGAGCCAGCATGGCTGGTATTAGGAAGACGTAACACAAGGCCTACGTGTATACGTGTACTGATGACAACATACACACTATTTGCATGTGACACTTTCCTATGGACCCTGCTGGGACCCACTGTCCACTGACCACCATATCAAAACTGTTGGATCATCAGTAAATTGGTATGTGCATATGATACATTTAACATAACAACTTATGAACTTTGACCCTACATTTAAACAGGCACCACATTTCACTCTCCGTTTAAAAAAAATCGGCAATAACCTGAGAAAGTAAAGCAACTTGTATCCGGACTTACAGGGTTTCAGACATTGTGCAAAACACATATGTACTTCATACTCTAACAATTCCATAGAACAGAACAAATGAATTAAGTGACAGACTAAATGCCCCTTCTACTCGGTCACCAAATCTGTCACCTTACAAAATTAGTTGTATGTTCTGACCACTACACCCATGAACACTCAAAGGTTGTATTATGTCGTCTTCAGTTGACAAATGCTTTCAATTAGTAAAGCAAAGTACCTCAAATACTAGTTAAACCTGCTTCTGTGAAGATTTAATCTCTTCATCATTTGACTTTTGAAAATAAGTGGAAATCAGTGTTAAAAGTTGTGGATTACCGAGTTAAATAAGAATCTTATAGAGAAAGAAACTTTTGGCAGGAATAAAAATTCATGGCACCTGCACCAATACAAATGTTTAACTTTTTCATATTGCAAGCCATTTCAGTTCATAAATGGTCTGTAATTGGCATTTTCATAAATATCAGTTTCAATATATGAATTCTACAAGTGGAATAGAAATGAACATAAATAAGAGCCTAAAAATTCAAGGCAACAGAAAGTTTAAAAAAGGATTTCCCGATATGTCTAATATTGCAAGGCATATCCATTCCCTATATGGCCATTGACGGCTGTGCCGTTTGTAAGATGTCCACTGCCATCAGTCACCAAAGGTGAGCTCCCATTGGTTAATTCTTTCTTGTGCCCATCAATCAGCTCTGAGGTTTTCTCAAGAAATCCATTCCGGTCCAGTGTGAGGCTGCTACACTTGTCCTCCAGGGTCATGTGACTTTGTGGAGGCAATCCGACGCACGCTCTGTAAGAATGAAGACATCACTGTAATTTTATGTAGCATTCACTACACAGTACTTGGCCGCCACAGCAGACAAAAAAAGAGACAGATGTTGACATAATTGTCTACTAAAAAGCAGCACAGGATGGCCAAATGGGTGGGTCAACCTGCTTCTATCTGCATCAAATCTTCTAGGTTCCTTAAAGGACTTTCCAAAAGACAAACAGAGAAACCCTGTTACCTAGTAACAATGAAAATACCTTTCAGAAGCAACATACATGTATGTGGCCTAGTGATTGGTGTTTGCAATCACAGGGTCCGAGTTTGAATCCTGTACTTGTGATCTTGGGTTCGTCTTCTGTGTCTCGTTTGCCTCTCTCCACCCAGGAGTGTAAGAGCAGAGAGGGTTAATTCTGTTTGATTAAACTTTGCAGCACCAGATGTGGTTGCACGGATGGCTGTATACTTTCCAGGGAGCTGAGATGGTTCATAGGAATATTTCTGGGCCCAGTGAGCTGGGATGGTATGCACTGAAAGTCCGCCAGGTGTGTGAATGCACTGTACAGCTATGCCGCACATGTATTAGTATGGCCACTTTAATTCTCTCTCTGGATGAGAACAGTCTTGAAAAATATAAATTCACGGGCCAGGTGAGTCACAGAAACAGATAGATTCATATTCTGAAACACTGCTGTTTAGAGCAGACATACCCTGCTTTGTTCAGTTTAATGTATATTAGTGTACATTGTGGGGAAAAAAAGTCACGTGTAGAAATTGTGGAGTATTTTCTGCTTCTCTCTGCACATACGGTAGGTAAGCCATTACAAACACATACATTTACAGGAAAGCACATGGTTCAGTTGGCCGTTCTTTTAGGATTAGCAACCAAATTTGTTGAGAAGGCAAAGATAGGGTAGTTCTAATGTAATTGCAAGGTGTGGCCCCCCTGACACAGCGATTTCTGATGCTAAATTATAAATATCAATTTAATCTAATATTTCTGCTCATGAAAATGTTCCCCAGATACTCCACGACTTCTGTCATTTGTTTAATCTTTGTGGCTTTTTTAACCCCTTTGCGCAGGGAGACGGTAAGAGCCACCGTAAAAATTGAGATCCTCAGCCCGCTTTTGAACTATTATTCTCGGCCCACGCTCAAGCAAACATTGTGAAGGAAGGCAGACCATGGCTCTTGTGTATATGGTGATTGGCCTTTGTGTGTAGCCCAGAAATGAAAAGACCGAATTTGCATCATAATCACCAGCTTCACAAAAGTCCCACTTTGAAAAGAGGCAACGGGAATGTGGAAGCGTGAGTAGAGCCACATGCCACCGAAAAATGAGCCTTTTCACTGTGTAATTCAAAGCATGCAGAGCGCGCAGGGCCACAAACCGAGAATTTGCGGTTTGGCAGGTGGCGTTCGTGGCCAAGCGAGGCTGGAATTCTTGGAGTCGGCTTTCAGAAAAAAATTCCCGTCGTCAAGGGGTTAAGGCAGGGGACCAGGGTGAAAATACATGTCAAATTTCATGATTTTCCAGAGTTTTCTGGAGGATAGGGAACCCATTAAATATGTTACCTGAAAATATTCTCGATGCATGCTCGCTGCTTGAACAAGGCGTTCACCACTGGGGCTCCTGGGGGAACCAAGGGAGCTTTGCACAGGTAGCTCAGGATAGACAACACCGGATGAAAACTCTGGTATTCAGGCTCATTTTCTGCAAGTAAAGAATGAGGCAGAGCGTGTGGTTTAGGGAGACCAAACGGCACCAAGTCTGGTAGAATACTGACAATGACCAGTGTATGCAAGAGACATCTACTGAGAAGCAAGCAAATCCCTGGCTGATCAACTGGTTGGAGCAGGAAAACGGCTCATGGGAAGAGATTGCGGCGTCTGGCTAACCAGTGGCCTCCACAGATGCATAAATTATTCTTAGCTCTGCCCACAACTTTCAGAGGACAAAAGACGGGGGAGGGGCAGGCACCCACCTGTTTTGAAAGTGATCCTCTGGCACATCTCAGCCAGAATGATCAAGTCCAGGATGATGGGACTAGCCAGCAAGGAGTCCTCGCAGGTGTTGTGGAGCACGATTGTGTTCTTACCACCCATCATGATCTCCGAGGTGTACTCGTCCAAGGCACGCTTGCTGTCTCCGACGTAGGGGACGTACTTGATCACAACCTGTTCCCCACAAAACAAGAGAATTCTGTCAACTGTAAAAATATAGGTAAGATTAGGTTTGAATAAATAATGACTTAATCCATCTGCCCGATGGCACTGAAGACTCTATGCTACCCAAATATTTTTTTGTAAGTTTTGCAAAAAACCTAATGTACTCAAAGTTATCCTTTTCCCCCACGTATAAAGTGGTTAGATGCTCAAGAGAAAAGACAGAGGTGAGGCCTAGGGCTTATAGGAAGAATGCAAAATATAAAATGCAGCAATTTGAGGTATACCTGAACGTTTTACAAGATTTCCAGGATTTTGATCATAACCTAAACCTGTCAACATTGAAAAGCCAGAGAAAGCCACACAAAGAACGTGCAATACAAACGCCCCGTCATCTTATTGCTGTTGGTCTTTTGCTGTATCATTAACTCTTGATCACTGAATGCATGGTCCCACACAGCTGGGATCTTTATGAACCAGACAGATGTAACACGTAGATCCAAACAGCTGTGGTTTTTATTTCAGTGATTTTGAGTCAGGCAACTGGATAAATGTGATGAAGCTCTAGTTGCATATACAGTGAATGTACTTAAATGAAACAGCTGTTGGGTGTTTGTTTAACACACATCCTTGTGTGCTTCTGCGGCATTGATTTCACACTCCATCCAAAGGGAGCACTCATACGTACTGAGGTTCACTTCTGTTTGTTATTCAAATGTCTCCACGCACTGGGAATCTTGATATGTGTGAGATGAATTCTCTGATTTTCAATTTCTATGGACAATCTGATTAATCTGTTTTTTTCCGAGCCATTTGAAAACTCTAAAACTGGAACACTTCCAGTTAAATCAAAACAGTTGGCAGGCATGTTCATGGAAAAACCTTGTGGTAATACCTGTTTAATTTTACATTCTGCCGGATGTAAGTGTAGTATTCACGGACCAAATCTTTTGTGTGAAATATAATAAGGACACGTACAATGACGGGTCTAGTCTCTGAGATTGGTCAATGTGATGTGGAGGTGGGCTTTCTTGTTGCTCATCACACATTCCACTGTTAAATACAGGTATCTGTCTTCCCAGTTTCAATGGCTGAGTTCGCGCGGCTTGTTCTCGTATGTTCACGAACAAATCAACTTGTTGTACATGGGTTGGCCTGTCGAATGCCGGGGCTGGTAGTTAGTGGCAAGCAACATGCAGCATGGCGGCGTCCATGTGCGTTATTCGAGAGTTAATGCTTGGATGGGCTGAATTCTTTTCTATTTAAACAGGAACATTCATTTCTGTGTCATGGAAAATAATTTGTTAATTTTGCAAAACTTCCCATTGTCTGTGGCTTTAGAAGCCATCTATCTACTTTTTGCAGCTGATCAAAATCAAAATCTCACAAGTTTTTCCGTGTGTTTCTGTAAAACCCTGACGAGGAGGTGGTGATCCTGTGTCGAGAACAGTGTTCTTCAGTCGTGTTCGCGCCATTCGAGCGCGAGAACAAGAAACCTGTGTCAAGAACAGGCCGCTGAACTCGACCTATGAGAGCATTATCCCTTGACCCCTGAGCTGGACCAACAGGGAGCACAATTCTTTTAGCAATGGAGGCTCCTTTGGTGGAAACTGCACTTCTTTGGATCACAATGGACTATGAAATACGTGCGTTACGGTCCCGTAGCTGCCATTAAAATGACACCTCCCCACCAACATGGCTCCTTTCAACCAATGAGGGCGTGCTTCTGCTCAAGGTGGATACTCACACAGTGGTCAGGTTTCTCATTATCCTGGTACAGGATGGGATTGGACTCAACCATGTCATCCACCACACTGCTCTTGGAAATCTGCAACAATGACGGTGATATTCAACATTACACCGTCAACCAATGTGAGTTCAAGATCAAACTACAGGCATTATATGAGTTTCACACAGAGGCAGAAGGACGTTAATACACGTATGCAGTGTGTGCTGATTTATAGTTTGATTTTCACATTTAGCTAATAACTGAATAAAGTGAATATATATGCCTTCATGCACCTTGACTTCGCACAGAGGCAGGAGGAGGACTTTTATATAAATGTACTTTGTGCTATTTTACAATTTGATTTTGGCATTTAGCTAATAATTGGAATCTGTTCCACTGTAACTTCCAATACACAGCTTCACCATCGGCTTTTACAATTGGGGGGAAAGGAGACATTAAAAACAAATTCCTCCAAAAAAAAATGACTATTTAGTGGTAGAACGTAGTGGCAGCTGAACGAGCGAAAGGAATTCCATATCAGTTGAATCAACAGCTTTTCCCACAATTATCCGAAAAGCCACTGTTCAACATCAGTCACAAAGGCGCGAGCCAACTGTGACCCTACCTCACAAAATGAGTCACAAGTTGCCAAAGCAAATTTGAAGTGAAATCTTGCAACCTGTAAATCAATAAGAACCCTCGATCTTTTCACCCATTTATTGTTCTTTTTCAACACGATGACACATCAAAGCAAAGATCACATTTTGGCCCCTCTCTCTTGTGCAAACTAAAGTTAGCCAAAATTGTAACCTTGCGAGTCAGTTGTAGGATCCTGTCTTAGCTACCGCCACAGAGCCACATGTATGACACTGAATTACATGTACTTGAGTGCCAACGAGTCATTCCTTGCCCCGAGGAGATTCTGACGTCTCCTCAGCACAGGCATTTTGAATTCATGCGCGCATGTTTGTAGAACACAATGAAATACATGGAAGATGGAACAAATTCCAAATGATGCATGGTACAAGTATTCTAAACTGCCATGCGGATGTGCAACATACAGTTTCTTGTTAACATTCATTGCACGATGCAACGATAGCGCGCAACAAACTTTATCTGCTGCACAATATGTGCATGTTTGCATTACGCAGGGTAAAAATGAAACACTTATTTACCGACTGTACATTTTAGGTTTTTGGCTTCTCATTTTTGGTGACACATCTTTTTAGAATACAGACACATACAAACTGTAGGCAAATAGCCATACAAAAACCTGCCCTTCATTTTGAGTTTTCAATTAGGGGTGTGCATTTACAGGTATATTTGGAACCGGGTACCCCTTTTATGTCAGTACACTGTACCCGGGTACCCTTAAAATACAAAGAACACTTAACAAACGGCATTGCACACAATCCCAACATACCATGTGCCCGAAACAGGGCTCTTTTTTCATACATGTGGGAAGCAGCACACTGTGCTAACCATTAGAGGGGAATCTCCCCCACTTTTTATTAATAGAGCACCTCTGAGGAAAACATTTTTTTCTCTGATTTTATCTGTTCAAATAATCATGGAAGCATCCAAATCGAACGCAGTGTCATTTGTCCTCAGAGCTCAACTATAACAAGCTTAAAGGGGATTTTTTTTCTGTTCATGCCAAGATGCGAATTCTGAATGTATAATGCATCATACAGAGAAAATGAAGGGAACCCTCACCCTGTATTCGCAGTGGATAAACCCCTCTGCATGCCAGACAATGCATGCAACCATTGCTTTTGGCACAACGCAGATATGCCTGGTAGGCTCAACTTTCCACAAGGCATTATAGTGTTCTGATTAAATAGGCATACAGCTACAGTATGTACAACATGGCTTAATGGCACCAAGATTCACTCATGTGCAGAGCAGGTGATTTTCACTTACTAAAAGCAATGAGGCTGCCAGCTGAGATATCATGGAAACCTAACTGTACATGTACATGCATGAGTGTGAGTGTCGACTGATTCGCATTAGCCCAAAAATTGCTAGGCAATTTTTCAGGTAAGATGAGAAAGGAATTTGCATCTTGGGGCCAGAGCTAGAGAGGAATAACCTCCTCTTACCTCCTTGGATCGAAACTGCTGGGGAGCCGACAAGTTCTTCCCATCGTTGTTGCCAAGGTGATTGTAGCTGACAATAGAGACAGGCTGAGGTAAAAAAATATGAAAGAGATGTAAACAAAATCAGTGACGTACACGTGCCACATGTACATGTACCTTAATAACCAACCCTGGCCTCAAACTGAGAGCTGGATTTCGGGCCTTGGCCTTAAGGCTTCTGGACAAAAACCTAGGCCTTAGCCCTGGCCTTGAAGGTCAGGGCTCGCCTTACTATGTACATTAAATTTGTTTGAATTGTTGGCATTCAAATCTGTTTCACTGAACACCAAAGAGCAATCCCCCAGTACAAGCAAAATCCCATTTGAACAATGTTCATTGAGCTGCACTCTATGCATTAGCTTTCTAATGTGAGCCTGCACCATCAAAAACCTTGCTTCAAAGTACAAACTATACGTAGATGTACCTGTATGCTTTAAAATCACAAGGCTCTACCACCACGTTCGTAATTTTTTAACTGAATATCCACCGGAGAGAATCAAGGAAAATAAAAAAGGAAAAACTAAATCACTCAGTCACAGAATTGTGTTCTAAAGGAACATTTCAAGGTGTCCAACAATACAAACAAATCTGAATTTTCATTTCGATTTTTTTTTTTACTTTTATTTCTATGTGATCTCCAGAGGAATAGGGAAGTAGTTGGACTCCTAGTCTCTTTTCTACACTAGGGGCTGGACTACTCTCTTGAATTGAAATGTGGCAGACCATCACACATTCAGGCAAATCTTATTTTTTGCCTGTGTGAGAACTTGGTAAACTCAGTATTAAAATTTTCTGTCATTTATTCCGACTTCTTAGAGGAAGGGTTCCTGGAAAAAGCATGCTTTATAGACTTGTGAAAATAATGGGAAACATAGATTAATCTTAAAATTCTTACATAATGTCCAGATGGATTTCTGAAAGACAAAACATGTACCTTGATACCAGCACTGACAAGAAAATCTACGAGCACAGACTTGAATTTAGTCTGGCCCGACTTGAAGTCATCGCCGGCTATCATGACTCCCTTCTGAGTGGCAAGCTCGATGAGGCCAGGAACAAACGTGTTCTGGGGCGAACCATTGATGTAGGCACACTGTAGGAAACAAAACACATGATTTGTGCTGGAATTGTTAAAGGAACAGGTTGATGGGAATCAGCATATACATTAACTCACAAAGCAACTGACCAGTTAAACATGATCTGTGAAAAAAAAAATTAGGTTTCAAGATGCACATAGTCATGTTTTGAAGACAACAATAAAAGCAGATGATCATTTCCAAAGATGTGTCAAGTGACATATTCATGGCATCTTGGGAAATTTCAGTAAATACTGCAACTATGAATTCCAACTTGTAAAAGGCCAATTTAACAAACGAATGGGTTCATGTGAACACAAAGTTTGTTTGCAGAATTTGTACACAGCAATATTGAGACTAATGAGACTTACATGTACAAGAATTCATGTAGATGCAGTCAACTGAATGAGTTGGCAATTTTTGGCACGTCTGAAGTCTTATACAGTCGACTCCCGTTATTACGAGGGCCAGCGGACTTTCACAATGCTGTCGTTATAACCGGAACGTCGTTAAAACCGGTGCGCAATTTTTCACACTCATTTTGCACAAGTTTATAGCCACGTACATGTCTGTTGTAATCATCTACAGGTACACTGATATTACACGCCGAACACATGAAAAGATGATGTTATGTGTCTTTTATTGATGCTTTTATTGATGATTGACGATTTTATCTTAATGTTGATGAATAAAACAACATAAAAAAGTACATTTAAAAGTCAAATATTTGACAACCTGGATCAGAAGAAGCTGAGAAGAATAGCCGAGTGAGAAGAAACATTCAAGTCGGTGCCGGTAAGTACATGTACACGTACGTCACACGTCCCAAGTCGAGTGTACGTTTTGCTTTCGTCATGAATTGGCTAAAACCAGTCAAAAGAGGGCACCACTATTACCAGTATGTCCGAGGTTTTTGTTGAGATGTAGATGAGATTATTTTTCTAGTGGAATTTTTCTTTTATACATGCAAATAATAGCTTCAGATTATGTTGATGCTTTTTGTAGGGCATATTTTCCTGCACCTGTTTTAAGGGGAATGCGTTTTCACATTAGATTTGCATTTAAAGATCGGCGAGATGAAACATTATTACGTTGAAGTTCTTACAAAGGTGCATTGATAATGCATTGATGATGCCCGAATCGGGACAAAAGGTTTGTCGTTGACAGCTGCAGATAATACGGTTTGGAAAAAAGTTGCTGAAAATGGGTTGAGAACAATACTTTTGCTCGCATGGGGTCGGCACAAACGGTCGTTGTAGGCGGAGTCTCGCGATATCCGTGCACATAATAACCAAATATTTCTCCATAGCAATGAACACAAATTATTCGAGACTGGGAGAATATGCTCATTGCATCCGGGTTATCGTTATGACTGAGCTCGTAATAACGGGAGTCGAGTCTACTGGTATGTACATTTAAGAGATCAAAAAGTGCCAGGCATTTTTCTTCAAATGTACATACATTGTACACTACAAAGCTGAAACTTTGGGCCTGTTTCACGTGGATCTGGATCAGAGATCCCAAGGCTGGTTAGCTCCATCCATCTGGCAGGGTTCTGGTGTCAGTGAACCAACGTTAGATCACTGATTGTGATCCGCATCCGCGAACAGCTACTGCCTAAAACATTCATTGAAATCACGGCTCTTATGTCTTTCTAGTAAGCTGGTCACACTTCTTGTCCCCTCCCCCTTTGCCAAATAAAGTCACACTCCCCACAATAGTGGCGTCGATTTGATCGTACTGACCCCTTCCAGTATGCTGGCCACGGCAAAGAGAGTGGATGGAGAGATCTCGCTGGCGTTCTTGCTGATGGAGTCCAGGAGCTCCTTGGCAGTGGAGTTGAGTCCAGGCTCCACGGCGCAGAAACGCTCTGTGTTGGCTGTCCACAGGACAATCACCTGCAACAATAGTTGTTTTAATACCAAAACAGATGATTGGTAATGATGGTATTACTCTACCAAGTGTTCACTACCCTTCTCTGACACGGCTCTTTGAAGTGAGGAAAGATACCAGAATTTGGTGTCACAATACGTGTGCTGTGTGGTTCGTACCTTGTCAAGTTTCTTGGACGTCTTGAAGTCTCGGATATCCTGCCGGAGTTTTGCAACCATTTCTTCTTTGGTTCCTAGTATTAAGAAGACAATTTAATTCTAACTTGCAGCTGCACTGTGTTTTGCTGTATGTGCCCCCTTGACCACACACATAGGATATAACCAGTATGTCCCAAAAGGGGGTGGGGATGAGGGGGTGTGTCTTAATGAGAACAGGGGAGGTGCTGACACAGCATTTTCCTTAGAACCAAATAAATATACCATTATGTATGGAGCTGACTTATCAATGACGTAAAGGTAAGTTTTTTTTTTAATTCTAAGGTGCAACAAACCTGTCCACAGCTACAGGCATATGACTTTTCATGACATTTTGGCCTCAGGCAACAGCTTAATGAAAGGAAATCGAAATTCACCTGACAGCAAATTGTCCGCTCGGTCCTTCTGATTTGCTGCAATGAAGGACGGAATGTAGATGGAAGGGCGGGGCTTCAGGTGCTTCATGTAAGGGCGGAGCCTCTGCTGGAGTTCATAGTCCAGGACCTGGGCACGCTCCATGGCATCAGCGAGATTCATGGATGAGATATCCCAACCTGAAAAAGAGCAAATAGCTTCCACAGGTGTACTTACGTTGTGATGTTAATTTTTGATTATGGGTGTTCTTTCCCTTCTGCTGATGTTCACGTACATGTATATGACACCTATTTGTATGCTCAGTATTGCCCGAGAGCTCGCAAAACTGTTTACCAACTGTTTACAATATTACTCAGGAGGGGCTCAAAACCACAATCTTCTGCTTACTAGTGCAGATATCTTACCCACTTGACCACCGAGTTTGCTGCGATTGACTGGCTGGGCTGACTCTCACAAGTTTGGTGGTCAACTGGCTAAGCGGTTGAGGATTTGAGTCGCAAACAAGTAAGCTTGCAATTTCTGCAATTTCAGCTCTCAGACAACACTCAGCACAGACATGTGAGTATATTAATATATTGTACATGCGTGTACATGTAAATTTATGTCCGGGGAACTTGGGCAAAAAGCCCATAATTAAGAACAAACAGCAGAACACAATTGACCTGATGGAATAAAGAATAAATACTGTACATCTACAGGCATCAAAATGTGGGAAGAGAATTTAGTGAACCAATTGAAAATATGCCATGTTTTGAAAGCTGCCCACTCAGGAATTGAATCTTTAACCCTAACACTCCTCAATCCTTCACCTGTAGGAGGACTGAGGACTGTTAGGGTTAATGTCAATTCTGGGCTACCATACAACCATAGTCATTCCACTCACCATCAAAGAGAATGTCAGTCGGGTCCACCATTGGCAAGATGTCTTTGAAGGGGATGTAGACCTCCCCGTCTCCATCGCTGCCCAGCGACAAGGTCGATGCCTGGGTCAGGGAGCCATAGAAGTTGGCTTGCTACGTTCACAGAGAAAAACAGAAGAGAAGCAATCACTCCAAATACTGCGTTCCAGTCACAAACCAATTCATGTCATGCACGTACATTTTGTACACATAGCATGTACATGTAAATCAAATTTAACTGTGCATGTGCACACGTACATGTGCAGTAGGCCTTTTGCAAGTTACATGTACAATGTAAGAAGGAAGGAAGAAGCAGAACGAAGACACTTCCCAAATGTTATGAGGTCTGACATGATGAAAACTCTGCATGTTGGTACATGTAGGTTGTGGACAGTCTGCATTGGCAGATTAGCAAATTTAATGGTAGAGACTGTCCAGCATGTAATTGTGTCACATGCTACTGGGTGATGGGGTTGAGTCAAAGTTATAACTAGTTGGACATACCCCTGAGGTATTTAGTTCTAGACAGGTACCATTTGAGAGTCCAAGCACTAGTACATGTAAGCCTGTGTGAAACAAAACACCCAGAGGGTCAAAGCCACATGTACATGTACATGTAGGTGTCTGGGTTTTTCATCAGGAATCCCAGCGCCGGGATTCCTGACCAAAAACGTATGTGGCGCTCAGCAACAAACAACACTTGAAGTTTGCTCCTGTGAGAATATGTCACCACTGCTAGCAACAAGGCCAGTTTTACATGCATGTACAAATACATGTATACTTGAAGGAGGCCCGGCCGGTTGGCATGTTGATTCAAATGCTGGTCTTGTGAGGAGCTGAAGAACCAACCCTACATGTGTACATGTAGGTCCCAAAATGGAAGTACTGTAAGCAGCGATCGGGCAGATGTTTGATGAACATGTCTCTTAGAAGATGTCTGAGGGTCGAGTTGTCTAGAACTATGGAGCCATTGTCAATAGTGAATTGCTATCCCCGGTATGATGACCGAGTGGTAACTGCAGATACATGCACATGTTGTTGCAACTTCAAGGCCTGAATTATATGTACCCCGTACATGTATAAAGATAAAGGAGAGGGGCCGCACTGGCAGTTATGGTTGGAGATTAAAATTATTTGAGGTGAAAGCTGCAGTCGACTGTTGTACATGTACATCTTGTGGGTTACCAAATGGCTGGAGCATTGCTAGAAAGGCCTATGGCTTCAAACGATGGTTGCCGCTGTGGCCACCAGGTCAAGTGTACAGTGTACATGTAGATCCTCTACTTTCCCATGAAGGTTGAAAAAGAATGTCTAGTCGTCTCAGGAGAATTAGCGGTAGGGAAAACCAGGAATCTGATCAGCAGAGGAAACCACGCCTGGCGCAGCCAGAAGAAAACACTATGAGGGCGACGTCACTTCAGCCCTGTTCCATCTTGGTGAGGACCATTGAAATTAGAATTATGAGACCAAAATCCTTTCACTAGTTTTTGGAGGGTACTACACGTAGTTTGCGTTAAAGAAACATGTTATCTGCAATTCAAAGTTACCCACCAACAAAGTTTCAAAGAAATACCGGCCATTACTGTTCCCCCAACAAGCAACTCACAATTAACAAGTAAAAAGTGTCCCCCCCCCAAGAAAATGTAGAAAATAATGCATCTTACAATACTGAATATTCTAGGGTTACTGTACATGTACATGTACGTACTGTACCCATCTGGTGTTTGGGGAGCACCCGTAGAGTACAATTTGAACAAAACCTGCGTTGACATTTTAAACACATTTTCAGGAAAATTGATTTTCTTTTAAATTATCCATTCAATAAAGTTTGTATTACATTGTATCTCTCCCCAAAAAAGATAAGTAAATATTCTGTGCACAGAGCAAAGCCAATTTAATTACCATGCTATTTTTTTTTGGGGGGGGGGAGAGAGATACATTATAGTTGTGCAAACACACTCGCATTTAATACTGAGAATAATTGCACATGTACCGGCAGTGGAGGGCATTTCTACAGTGATGGACAATGATTACATGAATATTTTATTAAGAGTAATCCACTGAAGAGTTGCCAGTTATGTACATGTACATACGTTGTATAAATTCTCATTTTTTAGATGTACATGTACCTGTAGTATGAAAGGCTATATCATAAAGGAAATGAAAAGCATTGCTTTGTTGTGATTACCCACTTATAGCCGGTAAGTATCGGTACATGTACATATATGCACTGGAACACTGTGAACGTACATGTCAACTCACCCCTGAATTCACCCCTGAAAAGGTGCTAAATATTGAAACATCTCCAGACATATGCCAGATGGGCAGCGTACAATGTACCGGTATACTATCACTGATTCTGTTTAAGTCTCAGTATAAAACGAAACTGATTCTTAAGTTGACCAGTCGAGTTTCCCTCATGTCAAGGTAATGTGTACATAAATAGAAATGAACCGTAAGATGTACATGTACATTGTGAATGTACATGCACAGTACCATACACTCTACCTGTATATACTATATGTACATGTAACTACTGCAACCTCACTTGTAAACGCATGTTGAGGGTCAGGTGCATTATAACCAGCGTAACTGTGTCTCATGAAATGTTTATGATTGATCTCTTATTAGATCAGAAGTTTTAAAGCCTTGTACAGTATCCAATGAAATGTTTATGATTGATCCTTATTAGATCAGAAGTTTAAAGGCTTGTATGGTATCCAATGAAATGTTTATGATTGATCTCTTATTAGATCAGAAGTTTTAAAGTCTTGTACGGTATCCATGCACAGCCGGTCATGATTGTACATGTAACTTCGATATCTCGTGTGTGGCTCATTTCATGACAGTGCATACTTGCATGCATGGAAAAGTTTCTCGAAAGGGGCAGCAAAATGTCAGTTCAACCTTTTCGTCAAATCGTTATGCGGGCAATATCTCTATTGTGGGCAGACTTGGAATGGACAGATTCCCTGTTGACTTTTCATTGTGTTCTCAACTCAGTGGGATTGTTTCTTAGTCTTTAACAATCCTTCCAACTTCATGAATGAATATTTCATGTTTGGTGTTCGTCCCCACGATTATGTGGGCAATACTGTACCATGTGTGTGGGTACATGTAACCATGAGTCTATACATACCAGTACATGTATATGACCAAGATTTATAAAATGTTTTCTGCACACACAAGACAGGGAGAATGTGTCTCCAGTGACAGCAAATAATGGCAAGTAATGCCTATTGTCCCACTTCAGTGATCAAATCTGGGAAAATTGAAATGACACCAGATTATGAAACATGAGATGGACCGGGACATCATTACCCTTGTAAATAAAACTGACATACCTGTAAAAATGGACGCAGTGAACCAGGCAAAAAAATTACCTCATGTTTGCACTGCAGAACCGAACAGTTCATGTCAATATTCAAGGGAAATTCCAGGTGGTACAATGGATCAGTGGGAAAAAGAACACATTTTCGACGAAACTGTGGTTTTAATGTTTTAATGCGTGAAACTGTACCGAAAAATCCAGCGAACAGCTGTCCAGTCATGACCATACCCGTGCGAATGCAGTGAGAGCCAGTTTGCCTTACAAACTGAACCTCCTAAAAGCCCAAAAGTTGAGGAGTCTACACTGCACAGTGGTTTAGGACCCAGACATTTGGTCTGATTTACATTATGTTTTTGAATTTGTAACAAAACCTCTTCATTGGAGTCTGAAAATCAAGTTTTAAGAGTAAAAACTTTATTTTGAAATTTCATGTTCTGTTTCTGAGATATAACAGTTTTATTGCACGAGTACATGTACACATATAAGCTAACATGAGTAGAAAATAAAAAAGATTCACATTTTGTGTCAATATAAAATATCTGCCAAGACAAGTAAAAACTTCGTTTAAAAATGAAATACTGGCATGACTGGTATCGCTATTTTAATATTGCCTAGATGTATCCCATCAAAATGGTGTAGAATATGACATGGGTCGATTCTTGGATGATACAGTAACATAACATTGAAAAAAAGCATAAAATAGATTTGTTTTAAGTATTTATGGTAACACATTTTGAATAGTACCTTGTAGTAGTTACATGTACATGTATGGTAAAATGTCATAACTATGGTGGTAAATATCCCTTGCCAAGGTAAAATTGCTGTACATTCGCGGCAATGTCTTTGATGCCCATACAAGACAAAATTTCCATCTATAATGTATGATTTCACTAGAAATATTGCTGATCGCGTGCAAACGCTCGCACTCTCACACAATCCAGCCACATGTGCCAGTAAATTTTTCTCTCCAATCCTGCATGGTTTGTACAACCTCATCGCATTGAGAATCAAAGTGCTAAAGCTAGTTACATTTTTGACAAAGTGAAATGTCTTTAGATGTGCTTTATTCATGTATACATGTACATCTGTCCTTATAAAATAAGGATAATACACCACTGACTGTATGGAATGTTTAAAGCATTGCTAAGGAAAAGTCTTGAGAAAAAATACTTGTAAACAAAGTTTTCTTTTTTAGTAACCTAATATGGAGTACAGTACTCAGAGCAGAGAGGGAATACATGTACCTGTAGGTAAGCACCATTTTAGCCAACTAGACATGTTTTCTCAGGGGACAGCCAGATACATGTACATGTACTGTACTTTCAACTTTGACTGACTTTTATCCATTAAAAAAAAAACTGTCATTGAGCTGTCACCGTGATGTACAGTGTAGAGCAGACATTAATGGCTTTATCCTAACCCAGTCTACATGTACATGTAGATATTGATTTCCTAGAATTTTTCCCACCTGAAACCAAACCACAAATATACATGTACATGTAGCTATCCCCCTCCTTATAAGATCCCCTCAATGTGCAAAGCTACAAGTACATGTACATCCTTTACATTGTATATTTTTCTGTCTTCAATGGCCAGGAAGATGGAACTCTCTAACGATGACATCTGGAATAAATACCTAAAGACAGAATGGATCGGGCACTGCAAGAGGCCAGACTATAACTGTAGCTGGAGAAAGTATAGCAGACTACAGGCTGAAGGCAAAGTTCACGGAACTCTACATTTCCCAGCAACTAAAAGCATTGAGGCAGAAATACATCAAAGA